CGCCACTAAAATGTTCGTCTGACCGCCTGCCACTCGAGCTCCCTTGCCTCGTCGCCAACAAAGGCTTCTCCCATCTCAGCCAGCCACTCGCAGCGGCGGAATGTAATATACCAAGCATACTAAAGAAGTGTATCCTCTTCAGCGTCTTCCCCTCATACCAGCAGTCACTTCATCTCAGGCTCTGACTCAGCTCTGATATATCGAAATCATTTATCAAAACAAAACCATCCCGGGCTCGCCACGGGCTGACTTCGGTGAGACAACACATTCTATCATCCATGTCAATTAAGGCATCAAAGAGACTTTGTTTCCCTTATGCCCTTTGGTATGGTGAGGCCCTCGCGTATCAGATGGCACCGCGTATCAGGAAGAAAATCAATGGGCCAAGTCCGTGCATGAAATTCTGTTGTTTAGTCAGCGCAAAAAGGGAGACATCAAACGCGAGCCAGTCATCCCGATATTTTGACTCTCTCTCATCTCCAAGAGGTTTCCTTGCTGCCTACGAAGCTTATTGTTCCTTTAGCATTATGTACAGCGACGGTGATGATTTCTTAAACGGCAAAGGAGAAACATGGCGCAAATCATCCTTGAAGCAAAAAGGAAAGTCATGTTGAAATAGTAGAAGCCAAAAAAGCAAAGGATCAGATTTCCATAAACTTTACCATTAAAGGGAAACACACACTAGTCCCTCTCTTAACTACATTTTATTGCTGACCCTAAGCGCAAATGTTCGGGAGTACATTAAAGTGTAACGATGTGCTACATCAAATAATTAACTTTGTAAAATGGAACACTATTTCACTTCAATGATTTTAAAGAACGATTCGTTTATGGGCACATCGTTGAAATTCAGTTACCTGCTATCCGCTAAAATAAAATTTAGTCAGGTTACACTCTGACTTTATTTCTGCCTTACGAGCGTCCAGCGCCATGTGGCCGTGTGGCCAGACACGAACTGCGCCCTGTGTCTGAACAACGCTGGGAGGAGTGGAGCTTTTAGCTTTATCTCTCACGTCGCATCCGTGTTCCTGCTAATAGTTCGCCAAGTGGTGCTCCTCTTCGATAAAGCGTGAGGGCCGCCGAAATCGAGGCCCTTTGGCGACGGCGAAAGACGGTGCAGCGAGTGCCGACCGCTCGCCAGGCGGTACACGAGGAGCCACAAAAATGGGTATCGGGCAACCCTCCGCTCGTCACCCTCACGCTGACAGACGCGACCTGCGACAGATTTAGACCGTCTCCCTCCGAAATATTTCCACTTACACCATCAAAATGACAACAGCCTCGCCGTCTCCGTGTACCTTGGTGTTTCCACTAACACTGACTATTTTCTTTCCCGGCGCGAGGAGGAAAGGACAACAGACGCTCCGGAAGATTTATTCCTGTACGCTAGACACAGGTTTATTCCTAAAGAAAACGTCTGTATCTTGAAATACTATGAAGGAGATATTTATAAAATATACTCTAAATCTCTATTTACCCGTCGTGTTTATACTTGGGAGGACATTTATGGCAGTCTATACTGG